GAGCAAGTCTGGAGTCTAGAAACCAGAGAAATGCAGAGGATCTTATGTTGGTGTATGCCGCTGGGGACACATCAGTCACTAGGGGCAGATAATTGCATGGCCCATTTATAATTCACTTTGGTGAGATTATATGACAGATGAAATGGGGCTCATGATAAGGATAAAAGGCCAACAGAGGGAGAAATTTGGAAGAAATGGACAATGCCTTGGAAAAGGAATACCCAGTTAAGGAGAAATGCCACTGACCCTTTGGAGAAGCGGTAGAACCGGGCCCAAGGATGACTTTCTGACACCCACACATACACTTGCCTTCCTGGGCCCATCCTCCATCAAAAATATTCATGTTACATTTTATAGTTGTGTTAGAAAAAAATGAATAGAGTCCAGGCTGGATTCATTATTACATGGTCATTAATATAACCATGTTTCCTCCTGATTTTAAAAAGCATTAAAGATGAAACATTTTCATAGGCTCCTATAAACAATAACATAACCTGAGCCACTTTAAAATGGCGCCAGAGCTGCCACGCCAGAGGAACTAATTCCCCAGCATGTCTTGTGCCTCACACTTATGGAATGTTAAAAAGGGCAAAATATCCTTTTGACTGGGCATAGGCAACACTGTCTCAGGGAACTGTTTGTGAGGATTACAAGAAAACAGTTATCATGAGTAATGAACTGATGACTACTAGACTAAAAATTAAAACCATTTTTTAGAATTAACATCACTGTTTTCCTTCTGGAGATGTAATTATTGTCCTCCTTCCCTTTCTTCTAAATACCCATTGCCTCTGTCTCCCAATCTGAACATTATTGGGGCTTCTATCTAAATTAATGTTTTCTCATTAGCTATTCTGCTTGATCTCAACAAGTACTTGTTTCCTCTTACTTTGAACGGCTGTTTCTTTTTAGATTAGCACTCCTAACAGCAGCGGTTCTCAACCTGGGGGTCGAATGACCTTTTCACAGGGGTCGCCTAAGACCATCGGAAAACACATATATAATTACATATTGTTTACAGTAGCAAAATTACAGTTATGAAGTAGCAATGAAAATAATTTTATGGTTGGGGTTCACCACAACATGAGGAACTGTATTAAAGGGTAGCAGCATTAGGAAGGTTGAGAACCACTGTCTAAAAGTATTGTGGGCAGTCGGTACTGTGTCTTCTGTGTCAAATGGGTAAGTCATATCTGAGTGGTGGTATGTATACCAAGCGCAGGAATTAGGGCATAAAAGTCATGAATTTACCATGATGCAAACTTTGGCCATTTTACTTATGTTCTGCTCATATTTCTGTTGGGTCAGAGCCGGAGCCTAGAGTAAACCTCTGGTCTGAGGTCACCAGGAAGCTCCTGTTTTACTTCTGCACCAGAAATCAGGCCTGACTCTCTGATTTAAGGAAGCTGAGTCCCTCTGCTAACCTACACACTACAGAAAACCACCCAGGGAAAACAATCTACAAGTCACTTACAATGATAATTTAAAAAATCTGAAATTTCTTTTGAGGCTTTCAATTGCATTCATGTCTTATGGAGTCAATTCAAACTCCAAAATGTGGAAGGAAGGCAATTAAAATCTCCCCTAATGCAGGGGGCTTCCACCTGGGAGCATGAGGACTTCCTGGTGGACAGAGGAAAGGGGAGCACTAGGAGAAGCATCTGCTGCCATCACTTCCGGGTATACTGGCCTGAGAACTACCCCCCTGGGTTCACCATGGCTCCTGTCCCACTCCTCCTCCTCCTCTGCTCCACTCCACAAAAGAAAGGTTTTTATACATCATCGACCCCAAATGTCTCTGTGTGAATAGTTTGCAAAAGAAAAAAACAAGTTTTTTTTTCCTAAAAATAATAGATAGTTGGACAATCTGGACAAAATGCCTGCTGACTGGACCAAACTTTAGTCCTTGCCCCTGCCCTGTCACACAAAAATCTTAAATTTGACACAGCCTCAAACTTAAGCATGCTTTGGAAGAGTCACCCCTGTAAAGGCCTCTCCAAGAAGCTACTGACCTCAAGCATTTGCTAATCAATTATTCAACCACACACCTGATCATTCTCTCTCTAGTCAGGCTTACTTCCCTATAAAAGAAAAATCTGATTTATCTTGGAGACACGTATAGTCCCCACATTCAGAAAGTTCTCCTTTCAAATAAAGTATCTCTTACTTAAGTTCAGATTTGTTTTTATTGATAATACAAATTGACACTCCCCTAATGGAGAGTCAATTAATAGCAAAGCAGAAAGATCTTTGATAAGAAATATTAAATTCTGAAGCTCATTATTTCATCTGGGAATAATTTCATAGAAAACTCAGTGCCTCTATCTAGATCTATCTATCTACTTATCTATCTACCCATTTTTTATTCATCGTAAAAATGTACTCTAGAGGTTTTTTAAGTATATATATATATTGACTGGAACTGAAAAATAAAATGGAATTTTTTCTGATTGGTTTAACAATAAAATTTAGATTTGCCTATTAGCTATTTCGATAAATTGGATAAACTAAACCTTTAGCTTCAAGGTTTTGGAGCAAATACATGATAAATAACATGCTCTAAATGTTATATTTTGCAAATATTAAACCCATGATGAAATTGTTAGCTGTCATCTTAAAATAGTATAGAATTTACATAGTTTCTCATGAAGTTCACAACAAAATAAGTTGAAGATCACTGATTGATCTAAGGGACTAGAAGATATATGAGGGAGAGTTTGTGGGGGAATCTTCATAAAGATAAATTTTTAAAAATATGTTCATTTGGTCAGTCTATAAACTTGTATATAGCTTCCTACCGGCTCTTCTGGGGAAAAGATGGTAAAAGATGACCCAGAGAGAGTCACTGCATTTAGGGTCTCCCAGTCTAGAAGACACACTGATATATAAACAAGCAAATGTCTTTTCAGGCATTCTGTGGGGATTTTGTGGCCTATCTCTGTATCTTGATAGAAGGGAGCTTTTTAATCTCTCTTATTAAGTCTAGAATAATTTGGCTCATCAATGCCCCACAAGGAAACTATGTATATCTTGGAACCAACATTAAGTTTAAAATAAACTATTTTTTTCAGTGTATCTAGAAATATTGAAAAAACCCCCACACTACTTTCTTCCTAAAATATTAAAGAAAAAAATTTCTACAAAAATCATCTCTTGCAGTGCTTTTGCATTTGCACACACTTTCAACTTCATCTTGTAAAATGAGACATTATCTGATTTCCCTGGTGAGAACTAATAAGAACATTTTGGTTTGCATCATGTTTACTAATTTATGGAAGTATTTCACATTCCCCTCCGCCTTTTGTTTGTTTGTTTGTTTCCAGTTGTCCAGTTTCACAACTTTGAAGCACAAAGACCTTACTTGGCCAAAGGGCAGTCTAAAAATCCTTAGTTTTGCTCTTCTATGATGTATTCTAATGAAGCCACATGGAAAAACAAGGTTGAAGCTTCAGTTAGCACAGGCCTATCCTATTTTTCTCTGCATTAAAACCATAAAAGCACCATCAAAACTATAAGCCAGTGGGCACTGATCTGAAATGGGTATTTTAGTGAGTGACAGCATCATTGTCAAGTGACACACCCCTTTGTTTCCCCCCTGAAATCTACAACTTGTTGACATCCAGAATCCAACACAGGTTCCTGTGCTCCACACACTAAAAAGTCCACGCACCAGTACTGTGGAAGGTGATCTTATTGGAATGTTTAGGAGAGGAGGGAAGAGAGTGGGTGGGAGGGGGGAGACCAGGGACGGACCCATCACTGCAGCAAGACTGAACCTACAGCTCCAGCAAACATAGTAGTGATTGAGGAGTCAGGGTGCAGGCTTTACAACACAAACCAGGGGAGGGCAGCAGCTCAGCCACATTCCTAACACCCTCCCTGGCCCCCCCAAAATGCAGATTCCTCCTCAGTTTCACCACCACAGACCAGTAGTAAGAACAGAACCAAGTCTCCAGGCCCCAGGCCACAGCACAGTGCTGCCAATGGTCACAGAAATGAGGCAGCAGCCCCTTGGCCTCACAAATGGGCTCCCCTCAACTGGCCCCATCCCCTGCAATAGTTGTGGTGCCCTGGGACCCAGATAAGTCAGATCCTGCACCAGCATCCAGGACCTGGTAACCCCCCAACCATGTCCAAGGCTAAACCTCCCACACCTTGACTCACAAGCATGCCCTCCCAAGCTTAACTAGTATAGGTAAGAGGAAACAAAAACTGCCCTATCCTACCATCTACTGGAAAACTAAAGACCCCAAATTATCAACCTGCTGAATTGTGGAAAGCAAAATCTTCCTAAATAAGAAAAGTGTTCACTACTTCAAATACACCAGCAGAGGAACAACCCATCAAGCAGCATGGACTACCAAGTAACACTAACATAGGAAGACAATGACAGTTCTCAGAAAGGAACTCAAAATAGCAGACAATTTTTACATAAATGAGAGAGAAATCAAAACAACAGTCATGAGGAAACTCAATGAGATACAAGAACACTCAAAAGGCAGTTCAATGAGCTCAGGAATAAAATTAAGGAACAGAAGGAGAACTTTACCAAAGAGATGAAAACTGTACAAAGAACCAAACAAATTCTGGAGCTAAAGAACTCAATAAATGAGATGAGGAATGGATATATTAATAACTGATACACAATGAATACTAGCGTCAATGTCAAGACTGCCTATCATTGCCATCTTAGTCATCAGTCATTCAAGGGCTGGCAAGACATTCAGACATAAGGGAACTTCCTTTAAAAATTCAAATACAAAACAAATTATAAATTCAAATATTTATTTAGTTTAACTATTTAGAAAAAGTACAACTTCTCAGCAAAACATTTTATAAAAACTGAAATAAAGTAGAAATTAAGAATTTTCTTTCATGTAAAAAGATGACAAAACTTTCCACCTAAAAATAGAAATTCATGCTTTTAATAGTATAAGTTTATTTAATTCATAAAAATTAGGAATTCTCAAAGTAGGAATCAGCAAATTTCCTATTGCATACAAAACTGTTATTAGGATTTCCAACACAAGGTGTCTCCAGGAAGGGCCTCTTATTAGTCCTCTGCTTGCTGTTTCTGAAACGAGAAGAAGTTTGGTGCTGATTTCTGTTAGCTGCCCCTTAGAACTGCAAAGATTGTAAACAACAAATGCTTAGTATTTTATTTTCCTTTAAGAGACTTGCATTCTTTTAAGTAGCCACAGTAATAAAGGGAATTTCCCATTACATTGCATTTTAGCAATGCAAATGTATCAAAGCACATTTACTATATTCAGGTATAGGTTCTAAATTATTGTAAAAAAGCACTGATGTTTCTAAGAAGTTGGGGGAGGGGGCTCCTAAAGAAGGAGCAATCCAAAGTAGGGAGGCTATCAGTGATGTAGATGGCTTATCAGTAATACTCACTGCCTTCTGGGAGGGCTGTACTTACAAGACCCCCTTCCACAGGGCCACCAGTTCTGCCCCACCTTGACCACCACCACACTGTTGTCTGTGTGCATGCATAGATGCTCTTTAGCTAATCTCTTCCCCTTTCTTTCTCCAGCCCCCCTCCCCTCCTCTCTGACATTTGCCAGTCTGTTTCATGTATGGATGCCTCTGGTTCTATTTTGTTCATCTGTTTATCTTGTTCCTTAGATTGCACACGTTATTAAGGAGGTTCGATGGTATTTGTCTTTCTCGGACTTGCTTATTTTGCTTAGCAAAAAATCTTTCTTTTATTAGTACTCACACATTCTGATAACTCAAAGAATAATAAAATCAATTTAAATTCTTAAATATGGACAACATAAATTAATAATTGTATAATTTTTTAATCATGACTTTTATTTTTTCCTATTAGTCTTGTTTTTCATCAACTCATCTTAAAAATAAAATGATCCTCTAGTAAGAATCATTCTGCAAGATCAACTCAGTGCTGGTAATGATGGAAACTAAAGTACTGAAAGGAGAAACATGCCACCTTCCTTCCTGAAACCTACAGAACAAGCTGCTATTAAGGGAAGAAGGGGAAACACATACATTGCCTGTATCCAAAGTAAAATGAAATAAAGCTATTCAAGGACAATAAATTAACCTGTAAAAATTGCCTGACTAGTTCTAATCTATATGCTACGTCGGGTCTTCCACATTCTCCAATCCTCTCTAGACACTGTTCTTCTTCATGGTGTTTTGCCCTATTTATTTCCATTTGTCGTCTGATTCTTATTGCTTCTTGTTTCCACCACTCTATTCTAGGTGTCATTTCTTCACATTGCTTTTGAAGTACTTTGAATTCTTTCTCCTGCTGAACTGTATTTTCTTCAGGGCAATGCTTACATTTTGAAGCTGCTATAAGCTCATCATTCCGCAGGAATGAAATAATAGAGTTTGGTTATGAAGGTGTGGGCACCTGTGTGAATTTTTTTTTAATTTAAATTCTTTATAGTTTAACAGCATGAAATTCTGAAACAAATCCAATTGCAATAAAATACTAATTGCACCGTGGTCGAGTCTTAAAATGTGGAACCTTGAGTTACTCAGAATCAAGGCCAAAGTTAAAATGAACAGGAATCCCCAAAAAAATATTTACTGCCCTTGTCTTTGTCACACCACGTCTGCACTTGATTTTAGACTCTTTTTTTCTATGACTTTTTCATGTCTCTCCTCTACAAAATGACTATACATTGTCTCTTAATAGGAAGTCCCATTCCTCTTCCCCATCTTAACACTTCACAATCTTTAAAAACATTTTTAGGGATATTATATTGAAGTATTCAGGACTGAGTCACCAAATGCCTCTAAAAATAACATTTTCAATATGAGAATAATTTATTAATCTGATATATTTAGATTCTAATGCCATAAGTCTTTTACTGAACTATAAACTTTTGATGCTAATTTGAATTGCATTCCATGATGAAATGATTCCCTGGTTTACTGAGAAATTGCATCTCTCCCTGTAAATGTTTAGTGCGATGAGCCCTACATTTTTCAGAACCAACAAAATCGAAGAGGGGCTTGATTCAATAGTGCTATCTTGAAATTCTTTGTTACATCCCACTAAATAAGGGAGCAGACTAAACAAAGACAATATCATCAACAACAAACTTGCTGGAACGTCAGTGATAATGACTTGGGAAGAACTACTTTCCTTTAGATACAATGACTGTTTGGTAAGACAAGATGAGTGATGCTGAGTTTTGAAGCATATCTCCAGATTGTTTGGCACTTGTCCATGAAATAGGTGCTGGCCTGAGTGCTCACTGGGTTGTGGTGAATAGGATATGGCGACTGTTGTGTGACTGCTATGTCTGGGTGCCATCTGACTTTCTCCCTAGGGGAGCTCACCCTGGGAACCCAGCCACCATGTTGTGAAGAACGAAGCAGCCCAGGCCACATGGTCAGTCCTCACACAGGTATCCAGCTGAGACTGCCCCAGTGAACGTCCCAGCCAGAAGTCTTCTGCAACTGTCTAGCCAGAGAGTGAACCAGCCTCAAGATGATTCCACTTCCCAGCTTCAAGTCATCCCAACTGGTGGCAAGTGGAAAAGAAATGAGGTGGCCTTACTGCAGATTTGTGATCAAAGTAAATGCTATTTTAAGATAGGAGGTTTGGAAATGGTTTATTAAACAGCAATAAATAACTGGCACAGATACTGATAGAACAATAGAGTGCTGACACTAAAAAGGAAACACACACACTCATGGGAGTGCCTCTGAACAGGAGGTAGGTAGAACCCGACATAATGTAGTAAAGCGTGAAAATGAACACTAAGAGGGCCTCCAAGAAACACTGAGTGGAGCCCTCATGGCTCCTGAGGAGGCTGACAGCAAGGGCTTAAAAAGTGACACTGAAAGAGAATTAATAGGGATTCTCGCTAGGAAGCAGCTGAAATTGAAATCAATGAGAAAGATAAGCTAAAGAAGGACAATTAAATATAAAAGATCCTGGGTTTATGGGTTTCAAATACCCGTTTCCCATTTATAACTTCTCCCACATGTCCAATTGTCAAATAACGCCAAAACAAAGAAATGCCTTTCTGGGTTCACATCAAATCCAGTGTATTCTAGGAAAACATGGTCTAAGGATGAAGCTAAGACTTATAAAACCCTAAGAGCTCAGAAACATTAACATGGTGCCTCAAATTCCTTTAAAGATTTTCAGAATGTAAGAATTTTAAAGGAGCTGTCCTACATCTCCAGGAAGCCCCAGGTGAAGAGCTTATCTGAAAACAATTTGTAAGGTGGCTTTTCTAATGCCATGAACCCTAATAAAATTCATAGGAAACTCAAAGCTCCTAAGAGAATTGTAGTAACACAAACCTTGCCTGCTAGCTCCTGAAGGGAGAACAAGACAGTACACAATAAAAAGAAGCCTGTGGGTTTTTAGATGTTCTAAGGGAGGAAGCAGGCTGAGACAAGAGCTGTAAGCACAGGTCATTTCTTATGAAAAGGTCAGAGCAAAGTCTCAGAGGGCACAGCCAAGGTCCACAGAGAAACATTCCATGGTTAGGCATAAGTTTTTCTTTCCTCAGGGAGGAAACAGAGAACATTTTAAATCTCAGTGGTAAAACCTCCTCTAGCTTACTTCAAGCTTACTTGTACTTTATACCACAACGTTTCTCCATAGAAAACAAATTGGCTTTAAAATTTTGAGATTTCTATACACCAATAGTGAACTTTCAGAAAGAGAGATTATAAAAACAATCCCATTTACCATCGCACCAAAAATATTAAGCTACCTAGGAATAAACTTAACTAAAGAGGTAAAAGACCTCTACTCAGAAAACTACAGGACGTTGAAAAGAGATAGAGGAAGACATAAACAGATGGAAGAACATACCGTGTTTATGGATTGGTAGAATCAACATCATTAAAATGTCCATACTACCCAAAGCAATCTATAAATTCAATGCACTTCCCATTAAAATACCAATGGCCTACTTCAAAGATCTAGAACGAACTCTTCAAAAATTCATCTGGAATAAAAAAAGACCCCGAATAGCTGCAGCGATCCTGAGAAAGAACAAAGTAGGTGGGATCTCAATACCAGATATCAAGATGTATTACAAAGCCACTGTTCTCAAAACTTCCTGGTACTGGCACAAGAACAGACATATAGATCAATGGAATAGAATAGAGAGCCCAGAAATTGGCCTGAACCAATATGCTCAATTAATATTTGACAAAGGAGGCAAGAACATACAATGGAGCCAAGATAGTCTCTTCAATAAATGGTGTTGGGGAAATTGGACAGATATATGCAAGAAAATGAAACTAGACCACCAACTTACACCATACACAAGAATAAACTCAAAATGGATAAAGGACTTAAATGTACGACAGGAAATCATAAAAATTCTAGAAGAATCCAAAGGCAACAAAATCTCAGACATATGCTGAAGCAATGTCTTCACTGATACAGCTCCTAGGGCACTTGAAACTAAAGAGAAAATGAACAAATGGGACTACATCAAAATAAAAAGCTTCTGTACAGCAAAATAAACCATCAACAAAACAATAAGAAAACCCACTGCGTGGGAAAACATATTTGCCAATGTCATATCTGATAAGGGCCTAATCTCCAACATTTATAGGGAACTCATACAACTTAACAAAAGGAAGATAAACAATCCAATCAAAATATGGGCAAAGGACCTAAATAGACACCTTTCAAAAGAGGACATTCAGAAAACCAAGAGACATATGAAAACATGCTCAAAGTCACTAATCATCCGGGAGATGCAAATCAAAACAACAATGAGGTACCATCTCACACCTGTCAGAATGGCTATCATCAACAAATCAACAAACGACAAGTGCTGGAGAGGATGTGGAGAAAAAGGAACACTTGTGCACTGCTGGTGGGAATGCAGACTGGTGCAGCCACTATGGAAGACAGTATGGAGTTTCCTCAAAAAACTGGAAATGGAACTCCCATTTGACCCTGTGATCCCACTTCTAGGAATATATCCCAAGAAACCAGAAACACCAATCAGAAAGGATATGTGCACCCATATGTTCATAGCAGCACAATTCACCATAGCTAAGATCTGGAAACAGCCTAAGTGCCCATCAGTAGATGAATGGATTAGAAAACTGTGGTACATCTACATGATGGAATACTATGCTGCTGTAAAAAAGAAGGAACTCTTACCATTTGCAACAGCATGGATGGAACTGGAGAGCATTATGCTAAGTGAAATAAGCCAGTCAATGAAGGAAAAATACCACATGATCTCACTCATTCATGGGTAATAGAGACCATTATAAACTTTTGAACAATAATACAGAGGCAGAGCTGCCTCAAACTGATTGTCAAACTACAGCGGGAAGGCCAGGGAGGGTTGGGGGGCACAGGGAGGGGGGTAAGAGATCAACCGAAGGACTTGTATGCATGCATATAAGCATAACCAATGGACATAAGACACTGGGGGGTAAGGGATACCAGGGGATTGTCAAGGGCGGGGGGGCGGGGGGAAGGACACATATGTAATGCCCTTTGTAATACTTTTAACAATAAAAAAAATTTTGAGATTTCATATTGAGACATTTATTTTTTATCTTTTAACATTTTTTTTTAGTCCTCACCCAAGGATATTTTTCCATTGATTTATTTTAGAGAGACTGCAAGAGTTAGGGAAAGAAACATTAATGGGCAGGGAGGAGCCCACAACCAAGGTATTTGTCCTTGACCAGAATCAAATCCCTTACTATCCACTAAACCAAACCAGTTAGGGCTCAAATTAAGACATTTCTAAAGAGGAATGGTGACAGTCCAGATTTTAATCTTCTCCTCCCCAGGCATTGAGTCTATGAAGTATGAGTTAAACACAATGAAGTAAATGGCAAATTCAGCAGATTCTGTTACCAGAATTTCATGGAATGGAGGTAAAGTGGGAGGCATTGGGTTAGAGGTTAAAGGTCAGAATGGAGAAAAAAAGGAATGGATGTCATCTTTGGAAGCCCCTTCCCCATCATGTCACAGTATTAGCAAAACATAAGCTGGCCACAGGCTTTATCAAGAAACAAAATATCTCCTCAAAATTAGAATTAAAAACATTCCACTACACTGACTTTTATTATTATACTAGAGGCCCAAAGCATGAAAACTCATGCACTCATGGGAGCGAGGGGGGAGGTCTCTCAACCAGGCCTGTGCCCTCTCGCAGGCAAACATCTCTCTAGCAGTCCAGGAGCCCTCACTCCTTACTGCCCGCCTGCTTGCTATTCCTTACCACTTGGCTCACTGATCCTTAATGCTGCCGCTGTGCTTGCCAGCTGTGAGCTTGGCTTCTGGCTGAGCAGTGCTCCCACTGTGGGAGCACACTGATCACCAGGTAGTATCTCCTGTGTTGAGCATCTGCCCTTTCGTGGTCAGTGCATGTCATAGCGACTAGTCATTCTGCAGATTGGGTTGATTTGCATATTAGGTTTTCATTATATAGGATAAAACATGTGTTAATATGCAAGAGACTGGGAAAGAGTACTCATAAAATTTGATTTGGTACTGGCATAAAGACAGACTTATCCATCAATGAAGTAGAAGGGAGAATCCAAACATTAACGCTCACCTTTATGGCCCAGTGCTTTTTGACAAGGGTGCCAAATAACTAAATCATATATGAATAGTCCTTTTAACAATTTCTCCTGGGACAACTGGATATCCATAAGCTAATGAATAAAACTAGACCTGTACCTCATACCATATATTAAAAGTAACTCAAAATGTTTAACTATGAAACTTAACTATGAAGCTTAACTATGAAACTCTTAAAGGAAAACATACATGTATATATCTTCATTCCTGGATTTGAGTATTTTTTAGATGAGAAAGCAAAAGACAAAAATAGATTAACGGGACTTCATAAAAAAAACACAAAATTGTGATTTGAAAGATACCATCAGGAAAATGAAAAGGTGAGCTACTGAATGCAAGAAATACTTGAAAATCCTTAATCTAATAAAGGGTTTGTATCAGGGTATTTAAAGAACTTTTACAATCTATTATATAAAAGTGTAATATGCAAATCAACCAAACAACCGAACAGCAGAATAACTGTCCGGATGACCTTCCAGATGACCACACTATGACACGCACTGGCGCCAGGCCAGCCAAGGCAAGTGTGATGCTACTGGTTGAGGGGGCCCCACCATCGCCACACTATTGCCCCACAGAGGGAGGCCCAGGCCACCGACAGGCAGGGGATCGATCAGAGAGGGGGTGCTCTGCGATCACCACAAAGAATGAGGTCCACGCTACACAACTGGTGGTGCTGCAGCAGGTGGAGGGCCTCCCTCTGTGGGGCAATCGATTTGGGGGCCCCTGTGATCAATCACCCCACAGAGGAAGGCCCAGGACACCAGCCAGCAATGCTGTGGAGGGTGAGAGGGACTGGCCAGCGTTTTCCCAGGAGAGGGAGGCCCAGGCCAGCCAAGCGATCTCACCCCACGCCTGTTGCCCACAGAGGGAGGCGACTGGTGGTGGGGGTAAGGGGGTCAGCGCAGCACAGATGCCAAGCAGTGGCAGTGGTGGGGCAGGGCCATCTGTCAGCAGCCGGTGGAAGGAAAGCCCTGATAGGCCCTGATCACCGGTCAGGGCTAGAGACCCTATCCAAGGGGTCCCAGATTGCAAGAGGGCACAGGCTGGGCTGAGGGACAGCCCCCCTGCCCCCCGTGCATGTATTTCAAGCACCAGACTTCTAGTTCAATAATAAAAAGACAATCCAATTTAAAATGAGCAAAAGAATTGAGTAGAGAGATTTTCAAAGAACATATAAAAATGGATATTATGCATGTGCAAATATGGTCAACATCACTAGTCATTAGAAAATTGCAAATCAAACCAACACTAAGATGTCACTTCATACCCACCGGGATGGCTACAATCAAAAGACAGTTTATGGCACATGTTGGCAAGAATGTGGAGAAAGTGGAACCCTCATACACTGTCAATGAAAATGCAAAAATGTGCAGCCACTGTGGAAAACAGTTTGGCAGTTTCCTGGAAGGTTAAAGACAGGATCCAGCAATTGCATTTATAACTACATTCCCAAGAGAATAAAAACATATGTTCATATAAAAACTTGGACAGGAATGTTTATTACAGTATTCTTAACAACACCAAGAAGGGGAAATAACACAAAGGTTCATGAAATGATGAATGAATTTTAAAATATGTGGTCACTTCATGTAATGAAATGTTATTCGGCAATAAACAGAAATGAAGTACCGGTGATACATGCTACAAAACAGCAATACCTTGAAAAAATTATGCTCCATAAAATAGCAGTCCTGAGGGAGCACATATTGCATGATTCTATTGATATGAAATGTACAGAATAGACAAATCTAGGGAGACTGAAAGAACAGTAATGGTTTCATAGGACTAGGAAGAGTGAGGAAGTGGAAGCTGGCACAGGGTGGTTGCTAAAGGGCATAGAGCTACTTTTTAGGGCCTTGGTTCTCAACCTTCTGGCCCTTTAAATACAGTTCCTCATGTTGTGACCCAACCATAACATTATTTTCGTTGCTACTTCATAACTGTATTGTTGCTACTGTTATGAATCATAATGTAAATATCTGATATGCAGGATGGCCTTAGGCGATCCCTGTGAACAGGCTGAGAACTGCTGTTTTAGGGGGATAAAAATGTCCTCAAAGTGATTGTGATGATGACTGTGTAACTCTCTGAATATAGAAAAAGCCACTGAACTGCATACTTTAAATGAGTGACTGCGTGGTATGTTCATTATGTCTCAATAAAGCTACTACCAAAATTTATTTTTTATTTAGTGCTGGTGCCAGGGTTCAAGACATAGAGAGTTAACAATAGGCCCTCTTTATGGAAAAGTGATAAAGAAAAAAGCTGTCTTTTCACTGACACCAAACTATACATTTAATAGAAAAATCTGTATTTCTCTGCTCAAAACATCAAATAATATCTATTTTCCCCAATTAGGTGATTTTGGAGTCACAAAACTGATTTATAATTACCTTCTGTTTTAATCCTGTAGTCTCACTTTCCATTTCTTTTATACTTGGTTTTAAAATTTTGGGGAAACTGAGCTGTTCACTGAAATTCCGTTTTGGCATATTTAAGGGTTTCTGAAGTCTGCAGAAATGTACAAAATGAGAATGTCAAATTATTTAAGAGTAAATACTTAATAATCATTTAAACAGTCCCCGATTGGAGAGGATGCAGGCTGGGCTGAGGGAATTCTGCCCCACCCCCCACCCCGTGCACAAATTTTGTGCACCAGGCCACTAGTCCTATATATAAAAAGGCAATGGCTGTGGCAATTGAAACGACCATTCGACCGGTCACCATGAGGTGCTTTGAGCACCTCTCGGTCCCTTCTTCCCCCGATTGCAGTATGATGAACAGGGAACTACAGCAAATGGAGCAGTAGGGCAAGACTGGTGAGTGGGCAGAAAGGCAACCTCTTGGTCCCTCCCCCCAGCTGCGGGCTCCGGGGAACCAAAGCCATGCTGTGATCAGAGAACCATGGGGAACTAAAGTGAATGGCAGCGGGGTGCGACTGGTGAGCTGATAGGAACGGTTGACCTCTTGGTCCCTCCCCTGTTCCTCAGGTTCCAATCGCAGCTTGGCGAATGGGGAACCACAGCAAACCCAGGTGAGTGGCAGTGGGGCAGAGAGAGGGTAGAACAGTGACCTCTTGGTCCCTCCCCCCGGCCCACAGGCTCTGGGGAACTGGAGCCATGCTATGATCAGGGAACCACGGAGAACCAAGCAGTGGCAGCGAGGACTGGCGAGCATGCAGAAGATAGCCTAGGGACCCTAACCGCACATGATTTCGTGTGCGCTGGGCCTCTAGTGTTAATATAAAACATGAACCTATTATCAAATATCAACTAAAAACGAATCAGTATCCAAGGTGAAGAAGAAAAGCACAATGATATGTGAATGTACTGCAAAGACACAAACATATCTTTTGTGTACTGACAACAGTCTACAAGAAGGGAAGAAAAGTACCAATATCAAACAGACCACTCAAAATAGGAGAAGCAGGAAAGAAAAATCTTTGAAGTCTGAGTGGAAGGGAAAATGGAGAAGGAGCAAGGCTTTAGAAGAAGGGAAATCAGAAAGATAATGTCTCCTCAAGTCTGCTTTAAGAAGAGATCTTTGCTAGCACAATGTTAACAAAATGAAAGGGTGCTTTGGGCTAATTCCAGCAGGTCATAAATGAAAGAAGTTCATCAAAAGATTGGTGAACCCTGAGGCTTCAGCAGTGCTGAAGATACATATTATTGCCTGCTGCCAGACTGCTGAGGGCATTTCCCCAAACCTGAAAATCTACATGTTATTACCTGCTTCTGGCCAAACAGCTGAACAGATGAAGGCAGTTCCCCCAACCTGATATTTTACTGCTTACCTAACTTTACCTTTGATATGTGTATTTGCTTTGCTTTAGGGCAAAAATGTGTGAATAAAAAGCCATAGGTCCAGAGATTCAGAAAGAACTTAGTTACTAAAGCTAAGCTTCCCTGACTCCCCCATGTATTCCAAATTTATATTTCATGTCTAGTCTCTTTACTTGTTATGCCCAGATTTCAGGATCCCTAAGAAACCACACCAGGGAGCCAGCTGTGTCCGGTGCAAAAGCATAAGAGTCTTTATTTGAGCTAGCTCGGCTCCCCCACCTCGCCGACGCAGAAGCAGGAAGCAGAGAGAGAGAACTCTGTGTGGAGAGAGGTTTTATAGGGGGGTTGGAGTAAGGGGAGGAGAAAGGACTGTGGGCCCTGCTGATTGGCCAGGCGCAAGTCGGTGTCTTGTTACACAGGATGTGGTCATATCTATGGCGACTTCCCTTGATTGTCATTGGTTAGTTTAAAGAAGTCCTGGGTGTGGCTAGCAGAGGCTTGGGCTTCTGGGAAGAAGCCTTGTGGAGCACATGGCCAAGGTAAGATGGAGGGCGTAGTCCTCGCCCTTTCATTACTCACATACCTTCTCCAGATTCCTGAACCCTGCTAGGTGCAGGATAACACCCTGGCAAAAGGGATATGAAACAATGCAGAAAAAGAGAGTTAAGTGAGAGGAAAAGCACTGATGATGAGAATCAAAGAACAAACTTAAAAACTCAGCCAAAAAACAGAAAGGAAGCTATGTGGGAGCTTCCCAGATATGGGAAAGATGCTGTTGTGTTTTTATGATTGGTAAAAATAGGATTACCCAACTTCTTCTTTAAGTCACATGGACTTTTTGTATGTATGATATCTTTTATAACTAAAAAAAGAGAGAGAAACATAAGCCGAATCAAGATATTAGCCTATTTGAATGCTGAAGGGATGCACGCTATGAAAAGAAGAAATGATCACCAGACAGAGAAGATGTCTTGCAGAAATAAACATTCAAGGTAGACGTGAAACTTGCAGTTGACTGCCGGGGTTCTTGTTCCAGCATCTAGAAGGGTTCAGCAATCTGGAGAAGGCTGTGTGTAACTTAAATAGTCCAGAGACAAAATATAATTTTGAAAGGCATTTGGGAGTCAGAGCAGCTTAGCTAGAAGGAACTAAGATCTCCTGGTCTCAGGACCCCATACTTTTTATTAACACAAATTGTCCTGAGGCAAGGTGGAGATATACACTTCAAAGGGTCAGGGTTTCTTATAGAGTCCATTGTCAGATTGAAGGAATTAGCCTACGGCTGTTCAGGTGTTTGGCCAGTAGGAGGCAATAACATCTAGATTAAGATGCCCTGAGTTATCTGGCAGCAAACAATCATCCTTTTCAGGTTTGGGGAAATGCCATCAGCCATTCCCAACAGGTGACAACACATGTGACTGAGCCCTTGTTGAGTCCCCAAGTTCCATCAACCTTTTGATGAAACTCTTGCAATTATGACATGCTAGAATTGGTTCTGGCAGTTGAAGGATATGCAAAAGGCATCTTCATTATGGTTTTAAAAGTCATTCAAGTGTAAGTATAATATCGTGGCCCTCAAAACAGTTTCACACTGTGCTGTGAGTTTCTATAGTCAATTTTTAAATAGGATAATTTGTTTAAGAAAATTACAGATAGAAAATAAATTTTTATTTTTATTATTTTTTTAATAAAGTAAAGTGACAGTTAAATCTTAATTCATGGTAGAAATGATTTGAGATGTAATTTTACCTGGTTATCTCTTTTTCTAAATAACGCTTTTGCTTCATTACTTCATGCAAGTTCTGTTTCTGAGATAGGAATAAATCCATATGTTTCTTTAATGCTTCCTTTTCATGCTGAGCCTTTACAAAAAAATTAAAGAAAATTATTTGTAGAAATCTAGAGACTCACTTTCTTTCTTAAAAATATGATTTCTCAATGGTTCATGAATAATATGTATGGACAAGTTTATGAAATGTAGTAGACGGGTTTATAAACTAGATGCCAATAAGTACAGATTTCAAGAATAATCACTTCTTACAGCAGCTTAAATTGACTTCACATTTTGACCACTTTCTTTCTGGAACTGAAATTGCCAAAATTTGTTAAAACAGAGGTTTTGATCACCACAATGTAGTCAATGTCCATAGGTTCTCTATAGTTTTTTTTTCTTTTTTACTCCATCCCTACACCACACCCTAACACCACCAACACCAACAACAAAAAAGTGACATACGATTTCACTCATATGTGGCATTTAATGAACAAACTGAACTACCAAGCAAAATACTAAGTGCTAAAGTACTTTTTTAAGGCTATGTTGACCTTTTAGTTACTAAAGATGCCTAGATACATTTCCATTAATAGTTCAAGATATTCCAGGTTCCATTAAATCACATCTTACTATGGTAATTTAAAAAATTCCCACGCAGTTCCCATTACCTTATGATGATAATCTGACTTTAGGATGAGATAAAGACTCTCACTCGATGTAAACTTTCTTCCATAGGTTTCAATTTTTCCTTTTCTATTAAAAATTTTTCTCTTTAAATAAAGCGTCTTCTCTGTATTATATAACAAACATAACATTTGCTTCATTTTTGTAGCTTTTTCTACCGTCCTATCGTCCCCTTCCATTAAACTTTAACATTCTTTACTACAAGGTCTCATCCACATATTCATATTTTAACCACTCATTCTTTCCTTTTGTATAAGAACCAGAATTTCAATCTTATAATTGCACTAAAAATTTTTGAGGGTCATCTTTCTTAACCCTTTAATGCTTTACTTCTCAGCAGCAACTGATATCAATGACCACATGCACACACTCCCTCTGGCCCTCCAACTGCAGTGCATTTCTAAACAGTGACCATGATGTACAGTCCTGGACTCTCTCTATTCCTTTTTTATTTATCCTACTTTTATTTTTGCTTGTTTTCAGGAGAAGGAAGTGGTAGCATGGTTATTTTTCTTCATCTGTTGAAAGCCATGGACTAGATACAGTGATGGCGAAACTATGACACGCGTGTCAGAGGTGACATGTGAACTCATTTTTTTGGTTGATTTTTGTTAAATGGCATTTAAATATATAAAATAAATATCAAAAATATAAATCTTTGTTTTACTATGGTTGAAAATATCAAAAAAATTCTATATGTGACACGGCACCAGAGTTAAGTTAGGGTTTTTCAAAATGCTAACACACCAAGCTCAAAAGGTTCACCATCACTGGACTAGAACTACATTGAAGTTGAGGTAAGAAGTAACAAGTTTAAGAAACTCCATATCTTGTTTTATAATCTGATGGCCTTTGAATATTTAAGTTAATAACTTAAATCTGATGTTTTGAATATTTAAGTTAAAGATATGGCTAGAGATTATATACTTGTCATATGAACGTAAGTATATAATCAATACAACAGAAATTATGAGGACTTTCTAAAAGACAGAAAAATAGCATCAACCTAAGAGCTCCTAAAATACCAAAAGCTGATAAGATCAAAACTGATAATATCAACTACCAGACAGATGTAGAAGAGGAATACTCTGAAAAATAAATTAGGGGAGCTTCAGTCTGGCAGCAGATGGAGACAATGGTCACCTAAGAGGATCTTTTTTAAATCTTTTATTATAGAGATTATCTAACAGAAATAGAAGATAGAATATTGTATTGATCCTCCATAGGTTCATCATCCAGGTTGACATTTTTTTTCTACCTCACTTCTCTTTTTTTTTCTTCTTTCTATCACCATGTATCCCCTCTACGGCCTCTATCATCACCACAGAATCCCTCACACTGCAGAAATCACCACAATGTTGTCAATGTCCATGGGTTCTCTCTAGGTTTTTTTTTCTTTTTTACTTATCCCTACACCATACTCCAACACCACCACCACCACCAGCAGACAAATGCCATATGATTTCACTCATATGTGGCACTTAATGAACAAACTGAACTACCAAAGAAAATTTAGACTGAATTATAGAAAGCAGTTTATTCCTTTTTTAAAATCCTCTCAGAGATCCATAAACCTCAGCACTTCAAACCAGATTCCCTAATCAACATTTCCAGCCTTGACCCCTTTACTAAGGTCATCTGTACTTTTTATTACTTTCTCCCTTCTTGCTTTCAGAGACAATATCTTCAACCACATACTCATAAACCATGAGTGATACGGATCACCTTTGTAGATAGCTGATCTGGTACATATTATGTTGATTCTTATTGGTACTACTTTGAATGTACTAGTGTTATTTTCTAAATTTGGGGGTGCCTTCACCCTTAAGATGTTCACCAACAACAGCATGAGTAAAAGCAGAGAGATGCTGAAATCAGCCCAGTTATCTCACAGGATTAAAATCCAATGGACAGGAAAGGAAAACCTAGGTTCACACAATGACTTGTACACTCATGATCATAGTAGAATTATTAATAGCCAAACCGTAAAAACAAAACATAGGTCCATCAACTGATGAATGGATAAATGGTTGAGCAGCACAATGAAGTTTTGTTCAGCAATAAAAATAAATAAATAAAATAATGATATGTGTTATAATGTCAATGAATTTTTAAAATGTGACATCAAGTGAAAAAAGTCAATCACAAAGGACTGCAACTTGAGGACTGCATATATATGAAATATCCAAAAATTAGACTCATTACTGCCTGGTGCAGGGCAAGATGAGATGCTAGTAGTGATCACTAAGAGGTGTGGAGTTTGTTTTTGGAGTGATAAAAATATTCTATAATTTATTGAGGTCATAATTAGATGTACAACTCTATGAATATGGTTTAAAATACTGAATTGTATAATTTAAATTGGCAAATTATATGATACTAGAGGCCCGGTGCACAAAAATTTGTGCACTGGGGGGGGGAGGTCCCTCAGCCCGGCCTGTGCCCTCTCGCAGTCTGGGACCCCTCAGGGGATGACCACCTGCTGGCTTAGGCACGCTCCCCGGAGGATTGGGCCTAAGATGGCAATCAGACATCCCTCTGGCAGCCCGGCAGCCCTCGGGGGGTGTCCACTTGCCAGCGGGGAGCAGGCCTAAACTGCAGTCAGACATCCTTAGTGCTGCTGAGGAGGCAGGAGAGGCTTCCACCACCACCTCTGTACTGGCAGCCATCAGCCTGGCTTGTGGCTGAGCAGAGCTCCTCCCATGTGAGAGCGCCCTGACCACCAGAGGGCAGCTCCTGCATTGAGCGTCTGCCCCCTGGTGGTCAGTGTGTGTCATAGTGACCAGTCATTCCCAGTCTTTCTGCTGTTAAGGTCAGTTTGCATATTACCCTTTTACTATATAGCAGGGGTCCTCAAACTACAGCCTGGGGGCCACATGCAAATACAAATATTGTATTTGTTCCCGTTTTGTTTTTTTTACTTCAAAATAAGATATGTGCAGTGTGCATAGGAATTTGTTCATAGGTGTTTTTTTTTTAAACTATGGTCTGGCCCTCCAACGGTCTGAGGGACACTGAACTGGCCCCCCGTTTAAAAAGTTTGAGGACCCCTGCTATATAGGATAGAGGCCTGGTGCACGGGTGGGGGCCGGCTGGTTTGCCCTGAAGGGTGTCCCGGATCAGGGTGGGGGTCCCGCTTGGGTGCCTGGCCAGCCTGGATGAGGGGATGATGGCTGTTTTCAGCTGGTCACACCCCCTTCATGGTTGGGGTCCCCACTGGGGTGCCTGGCCAGTCTGGGTGAGGGGCTGAGGGCCGTTTTCAGGCTGGTGGGTGACTGAAGCTCCCAACCTCTCCTTTTTCTCTCTCTCTTTTTTTTTTATTCTGGGATTTATTTACCTTCTATGGCTGTCACTGGAACTGAGAGCCAGCTTTAGCTCTGAGGCGTGGCTCCAGCTCTGAGACCTCAGCTGCTAAAAGCAGGTATCTGGGTTTGTTTGGGTTCTATAATTGAAACTCTGCTGCAACTCCAGCTCTGAGGCCCGGCTGGCTGAAAGCAGGTTTCTGGGGATTGTTTAGCTTCTATAATTGCAACGTTGTTTCTTAGACTGCAGCTCAGAGGCCGGCAGCGGCAGGCGGGGAACCCTGGCTTCCTCCATCACTGGAGCAAGCAAGCCTCCTGTTCGCTTCAGCTGCCTGGCTGCCGGCTGCCATCTTGTCTGGCAGTTAATTTGCATATCGCCCTGATTAGCCAATGGGAAGGGTAGAGAAGTTACGGTTAGTTACCGTGTTTCTCTATTATTAGATGTCAATTTTATCAATGCAGTTTTTTTTAAAAAAATTCCATTAGTAATTATAGATATAATTTTCTTAATTGTCTGTTGTGGATGTCCATATAACAATGACCTGATTATTTCCCTGCTTTCATAGTATTTCTAAGTAAGAGAAAATGAAGTATATGCCTACTTCAATTGGTTTGTTTAATGAACTTCCCATACAAGTTATTCTGAAATCTAAGGAATATCTATTCACCAAAGTGAAGATAAGACACAATACAATTTTCTGGAATATTCCATTAAGCATTACCCTCTGATTTTATCTGGCTGTCTCAAAGTGATAATGGAGATATCACTGAAAAATATTGTTTTGTAGGGAAAAAAGCTTCTTGCCTTCTATGAAGAATGATGCATAATTCTCAACTTTCCTAAGGGTAAATATTATAAGAAAATACATAAAATACAAATAGCAGAATAAAACTCAGGGCTTAAGAAATATGTGCCCTAAATAGAGTTATAATAAATTAATCACAATGAAAATAGAAACCTGCCCATGAAAAGTAGTATCCTAAAACACTGTATATTATTTAACCAGCTATAAATTAACTGATGACATGTTAAATTTCATACATACTTGATTTCTGCTTTCATCTAATTCCTTCTGCAACTCTTGTATTTTATATTGTGAACACATACGATGATGTGATTCAGCCTTCAGTAAAGCCTCTGTCATAGATAGTTTTCTTTGGGTATTAGCCAGTTCTCCTTGAAGTTGTCTCACAACTGCTGCCTAGTAAGTAAGATATTTCTGTTACTGATTTTATAAATCACATTATTATTAAATTATATTAATAATATATAACTTCTCATATGGGATGGGGCAAAAGAAGATATACAGTTGTGAGTAGGTTATTTACTAATTATAACATTATTCTCCATACAAACAACGGTAAACCTACTTTTGGCTCAGCTTGGATATACTTTGTTAGAGTCATATATTATTACCCCTAGAGGCCCAGTCCATAAAATTTGTGCGGGGGGGGGGGGGGGGAGGGTATGTCCCTCAGCCGCAGCCTGCACCCTCTCCAATCTGGGACCCCTCGAGGGAT